CAGAGTCCACTGGGAGCTGGCATTGGTCCTGGAGGGGGAGCTGGGACATGTGGGAACTCACTGGTGCCGTGGGAGCGTGTTCCCATGAGGGCAAACAGATGTGGGGATGGATGACAGCACGGGAGGGTGCTGTGCGCCTCAGATAGGTGTTTGCACACTGGTGGCAGGGCGCCCCCCCCATGGGACATGGGCATTGCCTGAGGCCAGGCTTTGCTGCGGGTGGCCCGAGCTGTCTCCTCTGCTTGGAGGACAACTATGCCAGAGGCACATAAAGGGAAATTCCCTGCTGGGGCCAAGAGAGGCACCACGCAAGGCTTGGGGGATGCCTGATGTGCCGTCACCTTCAGGATCAGGCTGTGGCACAGCCATGGGACTGCATCTCCAAGCTGCCCATCCCCACAGCCCTCTGCCAGGGACACCCAGCAGCTCCTGGGCTGGTGGCACCAGAAGGCACAAGCAGGAGGCACTTTTCTCTCTGCTGGTAGGGTCTGAAGGGCATAAAGCAGGTAAACAGCTGCTCCAAGGGTGCTCTGGCCATCAGAGACAGACAAGGAGCTGAGCAGACCTCAGTAAAGGTTGGACCTGATGATCTTAAAGGTCTTTTCCAACCTGGTTGATTCTGATTCTTTGATTATATAGAGGTCAACTCACCTTGTTGCCTCCTGGACAAACACATGAAGGCAACAAAGACAAAAAGGATGCAGGAAACTCACCGCATGCTCCTCGCTGCATGTGGGAGCCCCTTGCCTAGCTCCTGGCCTTATCCAACCTCTCTCCTGGTCTCCCGTCCTCCTCACACCCATCTCTTGGCAGGTGCTGTCCCTGGGTGCTGATGTCCTCCCCGAGTACAAGCTGCAGGCACCACGCATCCACCGATGGACCATCCTGCACTACAGCCCCTTCAAGGCCGTGTGGGACTGGCTCATCCTTCTGCTGGTGATCTACACAGCCGTGTTCACCCCTTACTCGGCCGCCTTCCTGCTCAACGAGGAGCAAGTGGAGGAGAAGCACTGGGACTGCAGCTATTCCTGTGACCCACTCAACATCATTGACCTCATCGTGGACATCATGTTCATCGTGGACATTGTCATCAACTTCCGGACCACCTATGTCAACATCAACGACGAGGTGGTGAGCCACCCCGGCAAGATCGCCATCCACTACTTCAAGGGCTGGTTCCTCATCGACATGGTTGCTGCCATCCCCTTTGACCTGCTCATCTTCCGCTCCGGCTCTGATGAGGTACAGGCAGGTCCATCGGGACAAGGGGGGGACTCCTGGATGGATAGCAGCAGATGGAAGGGAGAGAATGAAAGGGCTATGGATGGCTTGATGTAAGCAGTGCATGGCTGCAAGGAGAGGGGTTGTTAGTCAGAGGGATGGACAAGGACGTTATGAAGCTGCAGACCCTACTCTAAGTGCTAAGACAGTGCCTGACGGGGCGCTCTGCCCTCACTGGGGCTGACCGAGCAGAGCAGGCTGGAAGCTCAGTTTAGGGACTGAATTCGGGGTTGCATTGCCAGCCAGACTCAGTGTCGGCAGTGCGATGTCCCTGTGGTTACTGCACTACCTGGAGCCCCCACCTCAACTGAGAGCCTGTGGGGTGGGTGAAAGGCAGCTGATTTGGGAGCAATAGTTGGCAAGGACAGGCCCCACCAGGAAACATGGCATTGGCCGTGGCTCCTCTCACTTGCTTTCCTGTAATCCCAGAGCTTGTTGCCTTTATGGTCAGCAGAGGGAAACAGCCCTTTCTGTGGCATGATTCACCAAACCTGTTTCAGATGTCTCCTCCAGGACAAAGTGATTCATGCTCCAGAAATGCATTTTCATCCCTCAAAGGGAGCACAGCAAGGCTGGAGACATGCCTTTGGCCAGATTTACCCCCTGCTCACCCGTAAGGGATCTCACCTCTCCCCTGCAGACCACCACCCTCATTGGCCTCCTGAAGACCGCCCGGTTGCTGCGCCTGGTCCGCGTGGCCCGCAAGCTGGACCGGTACTCCGAGTACGGAGCAGCCGTGCTCTTCCTCCTCATGTGCACCTTCGCCCTCATCGCCCACTGGCTGGCCTGCATCTGGTACTCCATCGGCAACGTGGAGCGGCCCTACATGGAGCACAAGATCGGCTGGTTGGACAACCTGGGCGACCAGATCGGCAAGCGCTACAACGACAGTGACCTCTCCTCCGGCCCATCCATCAAGGATAAATATGTCACTGCTCTCTACTTCACCTTCAGCAGCCTCACCAGCGTGGGGTTTGGCAACGTCTCACCCAACACCAACTCCGAGAAGATCTTCTCCATCTGTGTTATGCTCATCGGCTGTGAGTGCCTACACGTGTCCTGCTGTCCCCATCCCTGCTTTGGAGCTTGGGGGAGAAACAGGGAGAGCACATGGGATTTTCAGCCTGGAGAAGAGAAGCTGAGTGGAGACCTCAGAGCAGCTTCCAGGGTCTGAAGGGGGCTACAAGGATGCTGGGGAGGGACCTTCATCAGGGACTGTAGTGACAGGACAAGGGGTGATGGGTTCAAACTGAAACAGGGGAAGTTCAGGGTGGATACAAGGCAGAAGCTGTTCCCTGTGAGGGTGCTGAGGCGCTGGCACAGGGTGCCCAGAGAAGCTGTGGCTGCCCCATCCCTGGCAGTGTTCAAGGCCAGGTTGGACACAGGGGCTTGGAGCAACCTGCTCTAGTGGAAGGTGTCCCTGCCCGTGGCAGGGGGTTGGAACTGGATGAGCTTTAAGGTCCTTTCCAACCCAAACCAGTCTGGGATTGTATGATTTTAAGAGAATATCTTACTGCACCTATGCTGCTTCTGCACAGACGAATAGGTAGAAATATGGGTTTCAGACTCCCCGTGGTTTCAGGTCTGTGGTGGATCTGGGTTTTGGCTGGTCCTGCTGAGTCCTGCTCTCTCGTTGCAGCTCTGATGTACGCCAGCATCTTCGGCAATGTCTCCGCTATCATCCAGCGCTTGTACTCGGGCACAGCCCGCTACCACACACAGATGCTGCGGGTCAAGGAGTTCATCCGCTTCCACCAGATCCCCAACCCCCTGCGCCAGCGCCTGGAGGAGTATTTCCAGCATGCCTGGTCCTACACCAATGGCATCGACATGAACGCGGTGAGTACGCGGCATGAGGCCCCATCTCCTCATGCACCTTGTCCTGAACAACCCAGGTTCAGGCTCAAACAATTCCATCCTTTCAACAAGGGTGTAGAGGAGGCAGGAGAATACTTGGGAGGCTGGAGACAGAGTCTGTCCATCCCTTTCTCTTTCTCCCCCTCTGTCTGTCCATCCCTATGCATTTACTAGGAGGCCATGAAGACACTTCTTGGCCGGAGACCAGGTTTGGTGCTGGCGCACTGGTGAGGAGCTCAGAGTCCTCATTGGCACCCAGCACTTTCCATCCAGTGCCTCTTGGTGTCACAGAGCCACGGAGCACGGATCGATCCAGCTCCTCTCCACACTGCTGGTTGCTAAGCAAAGTGCATCCCGCTCTCAGCGGCAGGGAAAGGAGGGCATTTAAATAAACCTCAATCCATTTTAATTAGAGCCAGGAGAGGCGGTGGTTTGTTGGCAAAGGGGGATCAATGGTGGGGCGCGCTGGAGCGGCGCCGTGTCTCCGAGCCTGGCAGGGAACCTTGTACCGACGGCGCCAGGGCACCATGAGGGTGAGGAGGGGGCTCAGCTGAGGAGTCCTGGGCTGGGGCTGAGGGGGCAGGACTCAGCTCATGGGTACAGGGTGTAAAAATGTGCTGGCTCAAGAGATGCAAGACAGAGAGAGGAATAAGGAAGGACAAGGCAAGGAGAGAGATGGGACCTTGTACTCCCCATCTCTTTGCCTTGGGCAGGTCATTGGCCCACTCATTCCCAGTTGATGCTCCCTTTTTTCCTAAGACTTGATGCTCTTCCATCCCTGACCCCCATCAGGACACAGATTTGCACAAATCCATCCTCTCCATCTTCAGTTGCTGCTGCCACATTAAAGAACTGGGCAGCATTTGGGGGTTTGCTGCTGGGAGAGCTTCGAGTTAAGCCTCTCCCGTGGAGATGTCCACCCTGGGCTGGACATCGGTGGCAGTAACTAGAAGCAAAGCCATGGCACCCTACCAAGCCCAGGTTCTCCTGGCTTAGTGCAAACCCAGGTCACAAATCCCTTGTGACAAGCTGAGCTTGCAGCTTGGACGTGCTGTCGCTCACACCAGTTCCTGCTGGATGCTGCTGAGATGCAATATGAGCTAATCAATCATCCCACAGCCCAATCAATTCATCCATCCCTGATTTCCCAGTAGGGAATCTCAGGCACTGCCATTAGCCAGTGGGATCCCGATGGAGCCACCAGCCCCAGCCTGGATGTCCCAGATTTGGCCACCAACAGGAAGTGAGCAGAGAGGAGAGCAAGGGGGACCCTGGGGCCAAAACCAACCCAAACCCAGGCAGATTTTACCCCAGCACCGTGAGTCATTGGTGACAGCAGCATATTGGGAGTTTGACCTTGATTTCACCTTCGGATTTAGCTCTCGTTCACCACAAGGTGTTTGCCATAGGTATATTTGCTGCACACAACTGGCCCGTGCTGCTGCTTGGCATTCAGGCAGGTGATGTTTAATTAGGACAGCACTTTGTTACCCGTCTGTGCTCTCATTCAGGCAGGATTAGTGGGCGTAAAGATGAAAAGGGGGAGATGCCACCAGTGGGTATAAATAGGTTGAGCTGGTTGTTGTTATTATTGCTCGGGAATGCTCTCATCCCTGGCCATCTGCAGGGACAGGCAGGCAGGCATCCAACACGGGCAGGTCAGAGAGATCCCCAGCTTTGGCTCTCTGGGCTCAGGGGCTCCCCATTTGGCACAGCCATGCTGGGGAAGCCACTGCCTGAAGAAGAGAAGTTGCGTGGAGACCTCAGAGCAGCTTCCAGGGTCTGAAGGGGGCTACAAGGGTGCTGGAGAGGGACCTGCATCGGGGACTGTAGCAATAGACAAGGGGTGATGGGTTCAAACTGAAACAGGGGAAGTTCAGGTTGGATACAAGGCAGAAGCTGTTCCCTGTGAGGGTGCTGAGGCGCTGGCACAGGGTGCCCAGAGAAGCTGTGGCTGCCCCATCCCTGGCAGTTGTCAAGGCCAGGTTGGACACAGGGGCTTGGAGCAACCTGCTCTAGTGGAAGGTGTCCCTGCCTGTGGCAGGGGTTGGAGCTGGATGTGCTTTACGGTCCCTTCCAACCCAAACCATTCCATGATTCTATGACTGGACGCTGTGCGGTGGAGATGGTGGCACGATGGCATCTCTCCCTTGCTCTTCGCAGGTGCTGAAGGGCTTCCCTGACTGCCTGCAGGCAGACATCTGCCTGCACCTCAACCGCACGCTGCTCCAGAACTGCAAAGCCTTCCGAGGAGCCAGCAAAGGCTGCCTGCGTGCCCTGGCCATGAAGTTCAAGACAACTCATGCACCGCCCGGAGACACCCTGGTGCACTACGGAGATGTTCTCACCACGCTCTACTTCATCTCCCGGGGCTCCATCGAGATCCTCCGGGAAGACATTGTGGTGGCAATCTTAGGTGGAAATGTCCTTCCTTCTGGGAGGGAAAGGGGTGATGGGCAAGGAGAAAAGGGTGATGGGTGGTGATTGAAGGGTGATGAGCAGTCAACAAAGGGTGGCAGGTGAGGGGCAAAGGACTTCTTCATATCCTGGGGAAGGGAACCCTGTTCCTCAACATCTGGGTGGTCATCACACCAGTGGACAGGGAATGCAGGAGCTGCAGTCGATGGCAGGGAGAGGCCATAAAGGCACGCGGAGTGTTCCCATGAGTGATGGCTTTCAGTGTCCCCAGCATCCAGGCTTACTGGACATCCCCTTGTTCATGAGCCCCAGCATGAGGTCTGCTGGTCCCTCTGGAGCTGGAGGAGGTGCCCACCTCCCCCTAATGGCTGTCTCTTGGCACAGGGAAGAACGACATTTTTGGAGAGCCCATCAGCCTGTACGCCCGCCCAGGGAAGTCCAATGCTGACGTGAGGGCTCTCACCTACTGCGACTTGCACAAGATCCAGCGGGAGGATCTGCTGGAGGTCCTGGACATGTACCCAGCCTTCTCTGACAACTTCTGGAGCAACTTGGAGATCACCTTCAACCTGCGAGATGTGAGTGCCAGGGCTGTCCCAGGGAGGGTCAGTGCCTCTGGGGAGTGCAAGGGCTGAAGCAAGGATGCCAACAAGTGCTCCTCATTCACTTTGGTGGTGAGTCTCCCAAGGTACTCTCCATGGGGTTATGCTCTCCCCAGAGAACACTGCACATCCTTAAGCTCTTCAGAAAGGGTGGCCCCACAAGCCATGCTGGTAGTGCTCTGCTCTGCACTTGTAAAACATCTCCAGGACTGCTCCAGCCTGGGCAACTGGTGACACACAGGTTTTGAGGCTGCTAAAGCAAGATATATTGTCGTGCTTCATGGAGCTGAGAACCAGCTTCCTCTGAAATTTGGCTTTTTAAATGAGCAGAGGGTGGAAGGCTGGGAGGATTTCTGTCATTGCTGTTTGACTTAAACTTTATGACTGGATTTTGTCCTTTCCTGACAGTTGTTTTCAGAGACACTTGCCTGTTAAGATAGAGAAAGTCAAATTCCCTCTATGTCCTGGCCCACCTCAGGGTGCACCTTCCCTCCGCATGGCCCTGACACCCTCAGCTCAACCTCACAGCAACAAGGCGAGCCTCTAGGATCCCTTGAGCTTTGCAACCAGTCCAGGAGTCACTGGGTGGGACAGGGCAGTGATGGAGAGCCAGAGGTAGCTGGACACCAGCCCTAAGGAGGATGCTGAATGGGCTGTAGCCCCCATGGGGCCGAGGATGGGCCATGGCACCCACGGAGGGGCCATGCCCGCTGTCCCTGGTGACCAGCCCCTCTCACCCCCCAGGCAGACAGCGTTCCCCGCTCTCCGCTCAGCGAGGAGTACGACTGCACGTACCGGCGGGTGCGCCGGAGCAAGCACTCCCTGTGCCAGCCCAACAAGCCTGGTGAGTCCTACAGCACCGGCAGAGCTCGGCCTCCGGGCTGGGGATCATCCTGTACCTGCTGCCCTGGCAGGAGCCCCAGAGCAGGGGCAGCTCTTGGTGCCGCCATCCCTGCAGACCTGGCGGCACCCATGCTGCCTTCCATCCCTCCCTCCCTTCTTCTCCTTAGGGTGCCCCAACTTACGGGTACCCTCGGGGGGATGGGGGCTGATTTTGCCATGTCTGGTACTCCCCAAATTAACCTGTTGTGCTGCCCCACAGACCCTGACACGGGCATCTCTGATGCAGAGCAGTATCACACCTACTCAGAACTCACCAACCCGCAGGACCCGCTGAGTAAGGACCAGTGGGACGACGTGGGCAGCAGCACCACCCCCTGCTCCCAGGCCAGCGACGACGAGGCCAAGACTGGCAGCCCTGCGGAGGCTGAGCCCTTCCCCACATCCAAAAAGGAGGGGTTTGCGCTGCCCACACTCAGCCTCGTCACCACGGGCGCCGGCAGCACAGAGGTCGGCAAGCAGGCAGCGGAGAGCAGCCAGTCCTACGCAGGTACCACAGCAGAGGCCAGAGCTGGCAGGAGAGTGGTAGGAGATGCTTGGACGTGATGCCACGCTGGCCTTGTCTTGAGGCAGAGCAGATCTGAGGGCAGCCGTGGTCGTGGCCAACAGTCTTTGCTGCCTTTTGTCCCCAGTAGTATCTGCTCTGTCCCTCCCCTGCCCTGCAGTTTCTTTTGTCCCAAGAGGCCAAATGCGCCTTCCAGAGATGTGCTGGGTGCCAGTGTGATGGAGTGTCCATGAGCACCTTGGGTGCCCATAAGCACCTCAGGTGCTAGGGTGATAGACTCTCCCTGAGGACCACATATGTCAGGGTGGTGGCTCTCCATGAACATGTTGGGTGGAGGATTCTGGAGCAGCCCCATGCCAATGAGACTGAAAGATGCAAGACAGAAGTGCTGAGCTGTGTCCTCTCCTTCCAGCCACCCCCCTGGACATCCCCAACATGTTCTCCTTCTGGGAGGACCGAAGGCCGAACCACCACCCAGAGCCTTTGCAACACATCTCCTTGGTACACAGCTCACAGGACATGCCCCTGCACAGCGACTACAGACCAGGACAGATTGAGTCCAGGCTGGAGCTCCTGCAAGCCCAGCTCAGCAGGTGGGTACATCCCCAGGGCGCAGGGTTGGAGATACACCAGGGAGGTTCTGGGCCATCGCCTTCTGCTCTCTATGGGTCGCTGCAGCAGGTGCCACCTCCTCACCCGCCGGGACACTGTATTCCTTGGGAGGTGGTGGGAGCACTTTCCAAATGCAGCAGCTTCTCAAACTGCAAGTCCTGGCCCCAGGGATCTGCTGCTTTACTGTTGCTTCCAAACTCAATGCAACAACAGACATGAAACCACCCCCTAAGCCCTTTGCAGGGCTCCTCTTCCTGCTGCAAAGAGCTGCAAGCATCCTCCTGCTTGAGCACATGAGCCTTGTGTACATCACTGCCCTCTAAATGAGAAAAAAACCCTGATTTTTGAATGAGAATCAACCAGGTGGGAAAAGACCTTTCAGCTCATCAAATCCAGTTGTTCCCCAGCGCTGCCAAGGCCACCACTAACCCCTGGCACTGAGGCCTCGGCTACACGGGCTGTGAACACTTGCAGGGACGGTGACTGCAGCCCTGCCCTGGGCAGCCTGTTCCAATG